CTCCTCCTCCTCCTCCTCTTCTTGTTCCTCTCCTTCAAAATAGTGGCAAACCTCTCTAGTATGGCTTGATTTTATAATAAATTATTTTATTATTTAATTAAATAGATGCTATAAAACCAAGGACTAACTTCAAATATCTCATTCATGCTAAAAATGCTCCTGGATCACACATGCATCGCTGTGTGAAAAATATTAACATAATAAATGAATGATGGATAAGTGTGTTGTTTGGGACTATGGTGACATATTCAGAAAAAGAAATGTTAAAGGAAGACTAAAATGGAAGAGAACATTCTTGAGCAACTAAAAGGGGTGGCAGGAAGCATCTTTGTCCACTTATTTAAGTGATTTGCAAACTTGGCAGCTTTAAGATGTGTGCCTTTATAAACTCCCAGAATTTTGCAGCCACCAATGTTGGCAGGGGAATTCTGGGAGTTGAAGTCCACACATCTTAAAAATTGCCAGAATGGAGAAACACTATTTTTAAACAAATAGATATTTAGGAAAGTTCATGACTTTTGTGGAAGCTATTTTGAGAAAACAGCCTTTAAATCTGCTCAAAACCCCAAATATGTTATTGAAGTCCTCCCCCATCCTCACATAGATCCCAAAACTACAGTAAAACGTTGTAATAAGTTATTGTAATAATTGAGATGCTTTGCACTTTTCTCTGAAAGAGACAGGCACACTTTCTAAAACAGGAGTCTCCAACCTTCGCAAATTTAAGACTTGTGGACTATGCTGTCTGCGGAATTCTGGTAGTCGAAGTCCACAAGTCTTAAAGTTACCAAGGTTGGAGAAACTTCTGTTCTAAAACCATCCTACTCTCCACGCCAGGCTCCCTCTTACGTTAGAGGGCGCCCCTCAGATTTCTGCGTTGAGATTTAGCCCCACTTTCGACATGCTGAAATGCAGCGCTCCCCACCCCATTCCCCCTCTGCTTTTCCCCCTCCTTTTTGTCCAGGATGTGTTACAGAAGAGTATTAAACGCGGTCGTTTTGCAGCATTAATATAACGCAGTGTTTCTTTCTTTTAACGGTGGCAACTTTTTAAGGTGTGTGGACTTCAACCCCCAGAGCTCTCCAGTCACCACGGTGGCTGGGGGATTCCACACATCTTCAAAATTGTCAGGGTTGAGAAACAGTAATTTAAAACAACAAAAACAAAAACGCTTCAGCAGAAAGCATCAGCGCAGAATTTCTGCGCCAGGATGCTCCCCCCCCCCGCTTAATTCCAACGGGGGGAGGGGGGTAGGAATCCCGGCTTTTTCCGCTGGAGGGCGCTGTTGCAGTTTCCAAAGTTAGAGACGGGGGATTGGCAGAACTGGCGAGAAGCCGCGTTTGCAAGTCCGCTTTCTACCTACTGCCGCCACCGTCACCGTAATCTCTCCGCGGGTGGCTTCATCCGTTGTGCGAGGACCGCCACTTAAAGTAGATGGGGAAACCCCTGAAGCTGCGGCCGATTCGTAAGTACATTCCCGTGGCGGTGGGGAGGTGGGGGGGAGAGGGTCGCAAGCCGAGTGGACGCAAAAAGGGCGGGAAGGCGCAAGGTTGGTGGTGGCTTCTGCGGGAGCGTGTCTAGCAAGGCGCTACGTGCTGACCGGGGCTGTTCACGAACTGTGCAGTCTGTCTTCCTGAGGTGAATTAAGCTCTTTTGCCGCTATTAACATAGCGGGGAGAAAAAAAGAGGAGTTTTCCCTTATTATTCCCCCCCCCCCCTTTAATGCTGGACCTTTTTAAAGAGTTGAACATAACTGGGGAGGGTCTCGTCTGCTATCTAAGCGATCGAATCCAGTTGGGACTCTGGAGGAATTGCTTCCTTCCAATGAGTTCTTCTAAGGGGCATATAAAGAGACAAATAGGATGATGATAATGATGATGATGATGGAAAATGGTATTGACCTTATATTCCCTTTCTCCTTATTTGTCCCTGTGTATTGGAAATACCAAAACTTTCCTTCCCTTGCTTGCTTTTATACAGGAAAAGAATGGAGATTTATCCACAGGTTTATTTATAGAAGGTGGTTTAGATTCAGGCATCCCCGTTTTACAGGGTTTGAAAATGAGTCATATAAGGATGAGCTGAGTCTTCAAAAACCATCTTTTGCTTGTGGGTAACGCTGTCCTTGGATTCGCTGTTAGCATGAAGCGTGGTGATCCTAAGGAACACTAACACACATGGAACCCGAAGCTGTTGAGCCAACTTGTTGTCTTCTTGCCTCCATGCCCTACCAGCAGTAATTTTGGATCTTCTATACCCCACAGCTGTTTTTTGATAGAGCTGATAGAATCATAAAACGAAACGGTGCATGCTTGCTTAGCACGCAGAGCTGCACAAAGAACTCCAATATTTTTGCCTGTTTTGCACAGACTTAGAAAATTGTAGAACTGGAAGGGATCTCAGAGACCATCTAGTCTGACTCCCTACTTGGTGTAAAGCATTTCAGATATCCAGGCTATCCAGTCTCCATCTGAAGATCTCCAGGGAAAGGAATGGGTCACTGCATGAGGCAATTAATGACAGCTTTTTCAGTGGGGAAATTTCTCTTCTAGTCTGGGTCTGCTTTTGTGCAGTTTCAAACCTTCCAGAGCAAATCCTCTTCTGTGTGATAAGTCCTTAGATATCTAAAGAGGATGACTGAAATTCCCCTAAATCTTACTTTTTACCAGGCAAACCGTTCCTTTAACTGTCATAGGGCTTGCTAGTCCCATCACCTTCTTCATGGCCATGATCTGAACATATATCTGAACTCTACATATTTTGTTGATGTCCTTTCCTTTGTAGATTGGAGTTCTCAAAACTGGACTCAGTATTCTCTCATCAGCCTGATATAGGGGCTTGCCTGGGGTGAAGTAAAATGGGGCATTTCTGCGCTGTAATCAAGACACTGTGTTCCTCCTGTTAATACCCCCCAAAATAGCCATTCCTTTTTCAGCAGCTGCATCACACTGTTGGATCATGTTTAGTTTATAATCTGTAAGATCTAGGTCAGGGGTCTTCAAACTTGACAGCTTTAAGACTTGTGGACTTGAACTCCCAGAATTCCTCCTCCAGTTCCTCCTAGCTCAGGAATTCTGGGAATTGAAGTCCACAAGTCTTAAACTTGCCAAATTTGAAGACCCTTGACCTAGATCCTGTCTCCATTCAGGTCTCCATCCTATATGTAGGTGCTTTTCATTTTTTTCTCCCCACATGTCAGACTTTGCATTTTTCCCTCTTAATTTCAGTCTTGTCTGTTTCATCCTACTCTTCAGAGTGGTCTAGTTCTTTTTTGAACCTTCAGTTACTCTTCTGAAGCATTACCTATCCCTCGTAGTTTTGTGTCACATGCAGTCTTGATCATGCTCTCTTCAATCCTTTCTTTTGTCCAGGTCAGTAATAAAAATATTGAACAGTCCAAGGCCCAGGATAGAGCTTCATGACACGGTATTTGATGCAAACCCCCAAGCTGATATGGAGCCATGTACAGTATGAATACTCTTTGGGATGGGTGGGTATCATTCAGCCACTTATGAATACATATAATGGTTGTATCATCTAACCCAGTGGTCCCCAACCTTTTGAACACCAGGGACTGGTTCCATGGAAAACAATTTTTCCATGAAATGGGAGGGGGCCGTGGTTCGCACATTACCTAGCTCAGGGGTCTTCAACCTTGGCCACTTTAAGCCTGGTGGCCAAGATTGGAGACCCCTGACCTAGATCCTGTGCACATGTAGATGAAACTTCATTCACTTGCCCGACTAGTTCCTAAAGGGCCATGGGTCTGCAGTCTGGGGTTTGGGGACACCTAACTATCATATATTTTACAGTGTTATTAATGAGGATATCATAAGAGGTTTTGCCAAATGTCAAGTTCTCATTACTACTCAAGTTCTCAAAATCATGTTGATAATTTGCTCCAGGATCTTGCCCAGTGTCAATATCAGATTGATAGCTCTGTAGTTTCCTAGGTCTTTGGTTTTTCCTTATTTTGAAGATAGGAACATCATTTGCTCTACTTCGGTCTTCAAGCATCTTGTTTGTGGTTCTGTTTGGTCACATCTGCTAGTTTCTTCATTACCCTAGGACAGGAGTCTTCAAACTTGACAGCTTTAAGACTTGTGGACTTCAACTCCCAGAATTCCTCCTCCAGTCACATTAGCTCAGGAATTCTGGGAGTTTGAAGATGCTTTTCCTAGGATGTAGCTCATCTGGCCATGGAGACTTAGAGCAGTGATACCATTTAAGTGTTCTTTTATCCTCTCCTTGTCTATCCTGAGCTGTTATTTACTTTTTCAACTAGACTAGAGGTACCCTGAAGGCCAGCTAGGGCTTCATTTCCCTTCTGTGAATAGACAGATATAAAATACAGATTAAGACAATCTGACATTTCACTATCACTTCTGACATCTGTGATTAGACTTTCCTAGAAGTGTTTATAAAAGCCATATGTAAACTCACTCATTCTTCAGGTTTCCTCTGAAAATGACAAGTTCCCTGAGATTTAAGGATCTTTCTTTGGGGGCATAATATTCAGGTAGCAATTTAATCTATTCAAAATTCTTGTATCGGAGAAAAGACATTTGAAATTATCACCCACTTTTGACAGTTGGCAGGTGACAAAAGGTATAACTAAATAAAGATAAAGAGAGTATGTAAACCATATTTAGAGGCTCTGAACATATTCTTTTGGGGCACTCTGACCCTGAGAAAACTATAAATGTCCCTCTCTATAGAATTGGCAGCAGGAGGGAGAGTTTAATGGGGAGAAAATACTGCTGCTAAAATCTTTCTGTCAATGCTCAGATATAAACTGAACTGTTTCTCACCAGAATACAGAAACCTATGAATTAAAAAAACCTCACACGCAGCTGTGAGCTGGGCTTACAATGCTGCCTTCTGAGATTCAGTGATTCGCATGGATGTGAACAAACACTAGGCATTGAAACTGATAGTCATTTGCTTTGCACCCTTCAGGAAAGGGATCCAGGTTCAGTTCTAACCATTTGCACAGTTTTCTACTAAGAGCTGGAATTTTGGCCTGTTTCTGCACAGAGGACCAAAAAGGAAGAACACCACATCTTTACACAGCACGTAGTTTCTTCTTTTATTTATGGTCCAAAACTAATATTTCAAAGAAGAGGATATTACAGTACATCAAATATATAACAGTGCCATACAATTTTTTTAAAAAATAGAACTTGTACAGAAAAGCCAGAAGCAATTAACAGTGTAGGGCATCAGATGATTCATGCAGGCCATGGCTATTGTTAAAAATGTAGTAACTTTATTAGAAATAGCTGAAGTCTGTTTGTTAAGGAGAAAAACAGTGACCTGGTCAGTGAATGTGAAGGTGTTATGAGTTCTAACATTCATCCATTGTGTAGTACAATATGTACATGTGAAACAGATTTTACTTCTGTATCAGAACATATACAAGTGCAGTCTTCTTAATCACCTATCTATAGTATGAGTTATTGCCCTTCCATTGTAATTTTCTGATTTGGCCAAAGGGAATAATCTCCTACGTGAAATAAGGGAAAAGATAAAAAGGTATCTAGGAATCAGTGGTGGGATTCAAATTTTTTTACTACCGGTTCTGTGGGCGTGGCTTGATATACCGTAAAATCTCCAGTCAGAGGTGGTATTGGCCGGTTCTCCGAACTACTCAAAATTTCCGCTACCGGTTCTCCAGAACTGGTCAGAGCCTGCTGAATACCATTTCTGCTGGGAATGGAACAGGGGAGGGTAGCTGTTATGCAGTAATGGAAGTAGGAGATCTGCTTGGAGATCTAAGCCTCAGCAAAAGGACAACCATAATTTATCAAGGGTGAGACTAGATAATGCCAGAAAAGAAAAACCTCAAAACCAGGTGAAGATTAATTTGTCTTTTAAAGGAAGATTCACACCTGTCTGAAGGTGAAGTGATGTTCTTCAAGACAAAGGTGGCCTCCAAAGGAGATGCAGCCTAATTCCAACTGGTTCAAGTGGCGTAAGGAGCTTGTATTATAGCCCTTATAATTTTGGATTAGGTAGCTTCTATCTTAAAAGCATTCTTATAAAAAACCCTAACCGGGCGCCATATACATTGAGCCCAGTATTTTAGCCTTGAATAATTTAAGAGCTGCTAGTACATAATTCTTTATAACATGCATATTTGATAATGCCAAAGGATGCCTTTGTGACTTTTATTTAAAAAGTCCCTTTCTGGATTAATCCAATGCATAGATGGTAGGGGTGATACCATGATCATAAAGGTAGTTTTCCCAGGGTGAGTTTCATCTGTTGCAGATTGTTCAATTGATTTGCCATGTGTGAAGTGATGGTTTTAGAAGGAGTCTAGACTAATTTATGGAAGGGAATTTATGTAAGTAGCTACTAGATTTCTTGACTTCCAGAATCAAAGATTGTGTCCCTTAAAGGTCAGTTGTTACAAAGTAAGGAAAGAAAAAAGCTTATGCCCACCAGTCTTGTCTGTGATTT